GAACCCTCAGTTCTAGAAAGGAAGAAAGACAAAACAGGTGGGCCAGTCCATATACCTCCAGAAATTATATAATCTGTTCAGGTGTCTCCTGCTCTCCCGTTCCTCGTGGCCTCTCTTGCTGTCTGCGGTGTGCGGCATTCCCCAACGTGCACTCCTTGTACAAACACCAGGGGTGGGGCCAGCAGAGGCATTCTAAGAGTAATTTCATATAGAAATGGCAGCCTAATGCTTCTCAGCACTTGTCTGTGTAAAGACAAAGTGTGACATATTTTATTCTTTTCAATGAAGAAGAATTTAAGGTCACACTGCTCCTTGACATGGGACTATCAGATTGAGAAATGCCTCAGATAACAAATATTAAGTGCTTGCTATGCGTATGACATTCTGTTACAAAAAGTGATGAAGACGCTGTCCCAGGTCTCAGATAATTCACAGTCTAGTCCTGCAGGAGACCACGTAATCACCTCACGTGGCACATGAACTAACAGTATGTGAAGGGGCAGTGGAACACAGGGTGCGATGAAGTCTGGATCTGCAGACTGAGGAGTATTTTCCAGAAGATATGATAGAGGCAGTAACATGTAACCCGAGTTTGGCAGAGAAGTGACGTATTGGCCTGTAGGAGGGGGCCTGCAGCACCTTTGTTTTGGGGAGATAGGCGCTGTTACAGTGGCTGACACACACTGTCACAGAGCATCACTCCTTCGTCTGAACTCTGCATTCCATAGGATAAGACCTTTTATTCTTTTTCTGATTTTTGGATGACAAACAGGAGGTGACAGTTTACCATTCATATAACAGCCATCGTTTTCCAATTTGTTGACACATCTTCCAATATAGTTTTTTTTAATTGAAGTACCTTCAGTTACAGTGTGTCCATTTCTGGTGTACAGCACAATGTCCCAGTCATGCATATGCCTATGTATGTTTATTTTCATATTCTTTTTCATTAAAGGTTATTACAAGTTACTGAACATAGTTCCCTGTGCTATACAGCAGAAACTTTTAATCTATTTTTATATATAGTGGCTATTTGTAAATCTCAAACTCCCAAATTTATCCCTTCCCACCCCCCCTACCCCAGTAACCTTAAGATTGTTTACTATGTCTGCTAGTCCGTTTTGTAGATGAGTTCATAGTGTCCTTGTCCTTTCTTTTTTTTAGATTCCAGATATGAGTGATATCATATGGTATTTTTCTTTCTCTTTCTGGCTTACTTTACTTAGAATGATGATCTCTTGGCCTATCCATGTTGCTGCAAATGGCATTATTTTATTCTTTTTTATGGCTGAGTATTATTCCATTGTATAAATATACCACAACTTCTTTATCCAGTCACCTGTCAATGGACATTTAGGTTGCTTCCATGTCTCGGCTATTGTAAATAGTGCTGCTGTGAACATTGGGGTGCATGTCTCTTTGAATTAAGGTTCCCTCCGGATATATGCCCAGGAATGGGACTGCTGGATCATATGGTAAGTCTATTTTTAGTTTTTTGAGGAATCTCCATACTGTTTTCCATAATGGCTGCACCAAACTACATTCCCACCAGCAGTGTAGGAGGGTTCCCTTGTCTCCACACCTTCTCCAGCATTTATTGTTTGTGGACTTTTGAATGATGGCCATTCTGACGGGTGTGAGGTGACACCTCATTGTAGTTTTGATTTGCATTTCTCTGATAATTAGGGATATTGAGCATTTTTTCCTGTGCCTAGGGGACATTTGTATGTCTTCACTGGAGAAGTCTTGTTTAGGTCTTCTGCCTGACATTGGATTGTGTTGTTTGTTTTGTTAAGTTGTATGAGTTGTTTATATATTCTGGAAATGAAGCCCTTGTCAGACTCATTTTTTGCAAATATTTTCTCTCATTCCATAGGTTGTCTTTTGTTTTGCCTATGGTTTCCCCAGCTCTGCAAAAGCTTATACATTTAATTAGGTCTCAGTTGTTTATTTTTGCTCTTATTCCTATTGTCTGAGACCGCCTTAGGAGAACATTGCTAAGATTTATGTCAGAGAATGTTTTCTTCTAGGAGGTTTATCGTGTCTTGTCTTATATTTAAGTCTTTAAGCTATTTTGAGTTTATTTTTGTGTATAGAGTGAGGGAGTGTTCTAACTTCATTGATGTACATGCTGCTGTCCAGTTTTCCCAATACCACTTGCTAAAGAGACTGTCTTTTCTCCCTTGTATATTCTTGCCTCCTTTATCGAAGATTAATTGACCATAGGTTTGTGGGTTTATTGCTGGGCTCTGTATTCTGTTCCATTGATCCACATGTCTGTTTTTATGTCAATACTACACTGTTTTGATTACTGTAGCTCTGTAGTATTGTCTGAAGTGTGGGAGGGTTATTCCTCCAGCTTTGTTCTTTTTCTTCAGTATTTCTTTGGCAATTCTGGGTCTTTTGTGATTCCATATAAATTTTAGGATTGTTTATTCTAGTTCTGTGAAAAATGTCATGGGTAATTTGATAGGGATTGCATTAAAACTCTATATTGCCTTGGGTGGTAGGGCCATTTTAACAATGCTGATTCTTCCAATCCAAGAACATGGGATATCTTTCCATTTCTTTAAATCATCTTTAATTTCCTTAACCAACATTTTGTTCTCCATGTAAAAGTGTTTCGCCTTCTTGGTTAGATAAATTCCCAAGTATTTTATTATTTTGGATGCAATTTTAAAAGGGATTGTTTCGTTACTTTCTTTTCCTGCAAATTCAATTTTAGTGTAAAAAAATGCAACTGATTTTTGTATGTTAATCTTGTATCCTGCTACTTTGCCTAATTCTTTTATTAGCTCTAGTAGTTTTCATGTGGCGCTTTTAGGGTTTTCAATATATAGCATCATGTCATCCCCATATAGTGACAATTTTACCTCTTCTCTTCCAATTTGGATTCCTTTTATTTCCAGTACAGTTTTAAAAAACCATTATAAAGCTCTTGCTTAGGCCTTTCCCCTGAAAAAACAGACTTAGCTCCTTTAACACACTCTCAGAGGCTTTATTTTACTTTTTAAAGACAATCACCCTTATCGTCTTCTCTTCTGAGCCCCCATCAGTATATGCTTCTCACCGCCCCCTTATATTTTGTACTCAGGTAGCATTGCAGTATTACATATTTATATATAAAGGTCTACTAGTCATATAGTCCCCAAATATTACATTTGTTTACTTGTATCTCAGTGCCATGCTTAAAATAAAGCACCAAAAAGCACTCGGTAAGTAGCTGAATGAAGGAAGCACTTCAGCACTTCATTCAACCCTCAGAGTTACTGTGCTGCCATCACACTAGCCTGAGTCTCCTCCTCCTGGTGGTGCCCTCCTGCCTTCTTAGTTACACTAACTTCTGTAAGTTGTTTATTGTCTCCTCACTGCATGTTCTCCCATGACAGTGTTGCTCGTACGATTTCAAATTTCCCCTCTGTGTGATTGTCGTCTAAGCCTGTTATCTTTGGACAGATTGTGCAGTCACCTCCGTCCTTGACTTTTCCCCCATTCTTTAACTCTCATAGACTTCTCTTCCCATATCTAATCCACAGGCAAGTCCCAAACACCATAGTGAAATGTCACCTGTAGCAAA